AGTAGATGTGGCATGCTTTACATTGGGGAAACTGGAAGATGTTTAAGGACAAGGTTTGGTGAGCATCGGCGTGCAGTTATTGGCAATGATGCTAACCAACCTGTTGCCAGACATGTTAATTTAATATTTTTAATTATATTATATTCTGTAATGCGATTTACATATTTTGTTTACACTTTGTTATGATTAAATCCATCTAATTGGTTTATTTTTTTGTCACATGATGCTTTCATACTCTTAGTATAAAAGCCTGTGCATTTCCCCCCAATCGCTGCTACTAACTCTTGATGAAGGGCCTTTGCTCGAAACGTCGAGTTTCTGCTTATTTTTTAAGGTAGTATTATAACCACTCAGCACAGCATTTTCAAATCAGTGTGAATCTCTTCAAGAGTCGACTTCAGATGGTGCTTTTGAAAATGAAGAAAATACTGACCAAGGATATCGCCTTATAAACATTAACAAACTGGCATCATCCATTTCAGAAGCACATGTTTGCAATGAAGGTCAGAATTTGTTGTAGCTTTTGTGTTCGTGTTATGTTATGTTATGTTAAGTTTCCTATCTTTGAATATACTATATGTTTATATCTGTAGAGTCGTGCACATGTATGATGTGTATAATATAGATTTGTGAAAACTTTCTCATGGGATATAAATGAACAATACCATGTGCTCAGCCTTTTGAGAGAATGTTTTTCTATTTGTAAGCAGCTTGATTATTCAAGAACATCCGGATAGAAAAAGAGGTCTTCAATCTGATTTAACTGCGACCTGTAGTTCTTGTAAAGAAGAATCTTCTTTGGAGACATCCTTCTTTGTGGGTGAGAGAGGGAAGTGAGAGAAGCAACCCAAAATAATAATGAAAGTATCAATGCAGTAGTGTGGGCACGGTGTCCTAAGCACAAGCATCATGGAGCAAAGGTTGTCCGATGTCCTGCTGCATCGGCAGTTCGCCACTTTCACAGTGGTGCCAGAAGTAGAGAGAGAGTAATGAAGAGATTGGCAATACCAGCTGGCGAATTTACAAAGAAATCATCACTCTCAAAGGACAGAAAACGTATCAGACAAGCTGACAAGCAGACAACTGAGAAACATAAAAAACGTCGCCAGGCTGAACAACTGCAAAAAACCTGTTGTGAAGAAGCTCTATGTGAAGCAGAAGGAACAACTTATGAAGCAGAAGGTTTCTAATTAAGGCCAGTATTTCTAAGATGAAAAAAACTGAACAAATAACGTTGCAAACTCCTGCAAACGACTTGTATTGTTGTTTCTAAATTTTAATGCTCATCTTCTCAAATTGTGCAATTTCGGCAGTTGAGAAAAGATATCTCTTGTTGTATTTGACCAATTAAACTAAAATTTTCAGCATTTGTTCTTCTAGGTGTGCTGTCTTAAATGAGCATAGAGAATTTCTATATCTTATTTGTAGGTCATTATTCTATTGACGAAAACTTCCCTGGTAAAACCTATCGCAAGTTTGTAGCACTGCCACTGCCATAATATTTATCATTAAAAAAAGTGCTATGCTCATTTAAGACTGTGATACCTACACGTCTTAAAAATATATTCACATTCAAAATCCTGGCCATTTACAAGCAGATATCTTTTCTGATTCATGACCCTTTTTAGCACCGCATGAGGTGCGGTTTCCTGGCCGGTGTCAGGTTACAAATAGTTTTTGTGTGAAATGGTCCATTTTATTGTAATCTATAGGTTATATGCTTTTAGATAATATACAGTTTGTCATACCTAAATTTAATAACTTCAATTTTATAGCTGATTAAACACAGGCCATGTTTTCATATGTATCCTCCCCTTAACAGTAGTTTAATTTAGTGCATTTAAATTTTGGCAGGGACGGGGGGTGCACATTTTTGTTGGGTGGTGCACAATTTCTCTGGGGGGGGTGGATAAAATTTTGGGTGTGCGCACACACCCCCCCCCCGCACAACCCGCACCCCGACACAAAATCCATCCTTGGTTGTGAAGCCGATTTGCATCGACTAACTATGGTTGAACTTGTGTTCTTAAAAATAACATGTGATCATAAAAATGAAATCCTACAATGTTTGAAGACAAGATATGAAGAAAGTGATGTAGTGACCTTCCTCAACGCAAGATATAAAGCTGATTTCATCACCACCAAACCCAGTGACTGGCACGACGGATGAAGCTGAGGATGCCATGCAAGTGATCCAGTCACAACTGAATGTTGCTAAGGAGGAACTTCTCAAACAAGCTGTGTTTCTCTCTGTCCTCGACCCTCTCCATCACCTTCAACTGAACCACCAAGGAAGAAGTCGAAACTTAGCCTTGGAGCTTTGACAAGCCTCATGGAATCAGAGCAACCACCAGGTTCATCCTGGTGATTGCTTGTGATCGTTTGTCAAAGGAGATCAAAATGTGCCTGATGTATCCAGTGATCAACAGCGATGAATATCCGCTCGGGTGGTGGCAAAGAAACGCAGCTAAGTTTCCGCTATTATCTCAACTTGCCCGAAAACACCTATCTATCCAGGCTAGTAGCTCTCCATCGGAACGACTTTTTAGCAAGGCCGGATTGATCAGCATTCCATCACGAGCTCAACTAAAACCTGGAACTGTTGATATGCTGACGTTCCTCACAGAAAATTTGTGAATAACACTGAACATTAATAGTTGTGTAATGTCTATCAGTCTATGTAATCTTTATACTAGTTAATGAATTATAAATTTTGATATTGCCACCTTGTGTTATAGTTATAGTTACGTTCTAATTCGTCAAAATTAAATTTGTCTCATTTTCAGATAAAAAAATTTTTCGGTTTTTTCTTAACAGTTTTCGGTTTTTTCTAAGAACTGCCCCAGCCTAAATGGATGTGGATGCCCTAAGAGCATTGGCCTTAGAGCTTCTTCGGCATCAGCCAGCAGCATTTGCTGATTTGGTGAATGGCGAATTGCTAGGTGGGAATGCACCACCTCAACCAGACCAGGAACCAGTTGACAATGTCCCAGATTGGTGCAATTGTGGACACTGTGTAGCTATGTCAACACACTTGGAAAACAAATGCTGCACACGTGCAATACAGCCCTGCATCTCCACAGTCCCTCTGTTCCAGCAACTAGTGCTTGATGGAAATGTGCTCAATGTAGCAATGCATTATAGAGAGGACTTTCTTGTTTTAAACAATGTAAGGAACAATGAAAACTTTCACCATGCCGCATATCAGCAGTACATACTGTGGCAACATGGAAGGCTTGGAAGGGAAACAGTAGAGTCATCCCAAGTTGTTGTGTTACGGCGATACAAAATCGCTACCCTTCTCCAAATGGAATATACACAGGATATCAGCCTGCAAGGCTGTAAATATTAGTAACACACATTTTAATACTATTAGAATTTCAGCAAGTAAAATTTAAGTTGGTAATTGATGTTGACTTATTTTTACTATGACTCTATATAATATTATCTAATGAGCAAAAACATTCCTGACCAGACATTTCCATTTATTATTTAGATTTAGGAATATAAATTTTAAGTTTTACGCTCCTGTTGTCTCCCCTTGACAAGAAGGATTGTCTTACTGTACACAGAGTAAAATAACTAACTAGGAATCATTGTGCTAACTAACTACTAGTAGTTAAGTGGCAATCTGCCACATTGTTTACAATTTTGCTATTTTATTCTGTCTACTAATTTCAGTTACTGACAGTTTAATGGTTTAAATGTTTACTTAATGTATAGTAATATTTAATATTCATAGCACGGTAGCACATTTGGTTGATCAAATATATTATTTTTATATTGTCTCTCTTTCAGAAAACCCTTTTTGCAAATGTTCTTGTATCTTATTACCAATCGTCAGATAAAGTTAACAAGTAAACCAAGGCTGTTTCGCTCTATATCAGAGCTTATCAGCATGCCTAGGAAACACTGAAGAAATATTGATAAAATCAATTAATCCAATATGTACAGCCTGACCTATTAATAGGGTCCGGGGGTTTTAAGTCAGAGTTTTCCTTCTCCTAGGTGGACTGCCTACCAAGGCTCGTGAGCTCCACCTACCCAGATCACTTAGTTTGAGAGTGACAGACAGTTGTGTGTGGTCAACTGGTCATGAGTTTCAACAAGTGAACTGACTGAAGGGGGAGGAATAGCGGCAATGTTCAGAGCAATTTGCTTTGGGTCATCACTTGGGATACCAAGCAAGATAGTAAATTTGGAATGATTGCATTGTCCAACAACTAGACAAAGTTTCCAAGAGGGGCATATTTTATACAATTGATTTTTCTTGGCTATATTTTCCCCTGAAGACAGACATCGATCATTCTGATGCAGGATGTTTTTGTACTTGTCTTGTTTTTCTATAAAATAATTTGTTCTCTTATTTATTAAAAAACTTTTTGAATTCTAATTAGGTGACATGCATATTTGTTTTGAGCAGAGCACTACTGTACATGTACATCAATATTTATCAGTATTTCATTCCACAAAGTTCATGACAGTTCACAAGTTCATAAACACAGTGGCCATGCTGTAATAAAACTTACTCATCAACGCTCCAATCTCAAGCTGGCCATCTGTCACAACCTCCTTCAGAACAATTGTTGATGTGAGTAACACATCCATCCCTCTTTCAAATCGGATTCACTCCATATTGTTGCTTTTTCCCCGAAGCTTCCTTCACATCAACAACATTCATTTGGAGGATGGTGTGATCATCTCCATGTCAGCAAGGCTGTATGTGCAGTACTGAGATCAGAATAATCATTTCTTCCATCACCACTTAAAACGACCTCTTTACCAACCTTCTCTTCCCATAGTTGTTTCTGGTGCTGTTCCCAGAATTTGTTGATTGTAGGGATGATGTACAACTTCTGATACTGATTAAACATTGTATATGAAAAATACTGCAGATTACAAAAGTTGAACATCAACCCCACTTTAGCATACAAATTCCCAGACAACAGCAGAGAAGAAGCAAGCACGAGATTGCCCGCTCAGATCTTGTCACAAGATGGCTATGCTGCCCATCTCCCACCAACATGGCCGGAATTACATCCCCAGTAGACACTCCCATATAGAGACGTTATCAACAACATGAGAGTGTCTGTAAACACAATGCACTTTTCCATCTTTATGGCTTCTGGCTCTGGGGTAACCACGTCCACAGTGAAGACATATTCTTGTGGTGCAGTGCCTTTATCTTCATATTCTTGGTCAATTTCATCTCCATTGTGCCCATTAATCGTTATGTTGAAGATGTCATTTTCTTCTGGCAGTTCTGGGCATGTCTGCTCCAAATTTAGATAAAAGACTTTGTGTTATTAATAAACTTACACTACTGTCACTAGTGACACATGGTGGACAAAAGTTTAAAAGTGTGTATTATGTGTTTGCATGCATTTTGGTAGTTTTGTAGACATGTGAGCCAAAATTGTTATTCAGCAGTTTGAGTGTCATAACTGATTACTGTTTTCATTAAAATGAATATTTTTTGCTCTTGAATGTTTTGTTCTACACATGCTATGTATTTACTCTAAAGGTTTTAATGCAGCAGCTTTAATGATGCAACCACTTTACAAAATGCAAAGTTCTCAACTTTTTGTCAGTCTACTGTAGAAAGGTATTAAATTTTACTTACGGTCCTTGTTGATGGAAATGATATATTAGAAAATTATATACATTTATGTTTGCGATGTTACTCTGAGTGCATATCCACACCGGGCAAGCTTGAAAAATATGCCCGGCCACGGTGGGATTCGAACCTACAACCTTTGGAATACTAGCCCAATGCTCTTCCAACTGAGCTACGTAGTCAGGACGGTTCGAGTAAGTGATATTTCGGAACAGTATCTAGTTCCTTCAATACCAATGTGTTCTTGTAATATGAATTTTTTTTTTCTGTGTTGGTGTTGTGTACTCAGGTGAATAATATGTTTGCAATGTTACTCTGAGTGCATATCCACACCGGGCGAGCTTGAAAAATATGCCTGGCCATGGTGGGATTCGAACCTACGACCTTTGGAATACTAGCCCAATGCTCTTCCAACTAAGAGCATTGGGCTAGTATTCCAAAGGTCATAGGTTCGAATCCCACCGTGGCCGGGCATATTTTTCAAGCTCGCCCGGTGTGGATATGCACTCAGAGTAACATCGCAAACATATTATTCACCTGAGTACACAACACCAACACAGAAAAAAAAAATTATATACATTTATTAGACCTAACCAGGAACAGGTGCAGAAAATGAAATTACATATCCCTGGCTAGCCTGAATTGAGTCAGGGACCTGTAGTTGCATTTTTGCAGCTGTTCATGGTTATGTCTAATAAATGTACATAATGTTCTACTCGATTATTTCCATCAACAAAACCTGTCAACCATTCATTTGCTAAGGGTCTCACTGTCACCTTCACCGACTGTCAATGTTTCATCATGAGCATGCCTATGAAGACATTATCGCGATAACAAGGGAAATATACCATACAGAAATGGACCATTTAAAGATATAATTAATCATACAAATCTTGGCGGGGAGCCAGGCGGGTATCAGGCGTCTTCGACTTGACAAACATATTCGAAGGGCCAGATAAAACTATGCAAAATACAAAATTAATAATTTAAAATTAACAACGTCAACCAAAATCTAATAAATAATGTTTTCTGTATATATCCATGAATAAGTATGTTATAAACTCACATGGCGAAGGATTATTGCTGAGATTCTGAGGGGTACTTGTGGCCATGAGGCCCATGTTTTGGCCAGTCAATGACCTCATTGTTTAATCTGGATCGTTTGTCTGGGTTTCCACAGTGCTAGAAATGCAGCATAAAGTTTCATAATCAGCAAATACAACAACATGAACAAACTAAAAAGGCCAGAGTTACATACTTACCGCATTTGAATTGATGAATCTCTTAATGCTTCGTACAAGTTCAGCAGAATATCCACAAACTCCTGATCACTCGTGATTTCATTTTCTTCTTTCAGCCGTTTCCACCGCTCAATAATAGAGGTATTCAAACACACTTTGGACACATTTCTTTTTGTAAAATATGCTTTTCGATCAGCTTCTTTGCTTTAGCGACCAGTGTTTGAAGGATTCCCTGTTTAAGTAGATGGCTGTAACTCTTGCAAGTCAGTCATTTTCAACTAGTGTCTCATACAAGCATGCATATCAAAATAAGGACTGGGGAGCACACAAAATCAAAACAAGTGTGCTCACATTTGTTTATATTTTTGACACATCCACAGAAGGGACTGTAATCTAGCTTTAACCCATTATGCGCCAGCCCTCTCCCCTTGACGAGTAAAATTGTCTGGCGTTGAAGGGACTGTAATCTAGCTTTAACCCATTATGCGCCAGCCCTCTCCCCATGGACGAGTAAAATTGTCTGGCGTTAGACAGAGTAAAATACTCTGGCGTTAGACAGAGTAAAATACTAAAGTAGGGTGCATCAGGGTGCAATGCGACTCAATGGGTTAACATTTTGTGGCAAGTAGGGTGCATCAGGGTGCAATGCGACTCAATGGGTTAACATTTTGTGGCAAATTAACATAATGACCTGAGTAACCTCATTGTCCACCAGACTTGACATAAACTTACATTATAGGAAGAGCATGAGCAATCAACATTTCCTCTACTTACATTAAATTTCGTAACTTGGTTAGAACTGGAGAAGGAATCATTGAATTTTCAAGTGAAAACTTTCTAGGAGATTTTGTGTCTCGACAACATCGAGAGCATATATAACAATCAGGCGACCTTGGTTTAGAGTTCAGTGGCCATGCTTCTTGACATATATTGCATTGACTAACAAAAAATTCACTTTTTAATGAAATGAGCATTTAAATGGCTTCCTTTGGAACATTACCGCTCGGCTTTGTTGACAACTACTCAGTGTTGCTAACTCCCAAGAATGACTTGAAAAATATAATTTGTCAAACTTGTGAGTTTTAAAAAAGTTTAAAACATGTCGTAAAACAGTATAATAGTAAGGGGCCGTTTTGCCTAATCGTAAGTACCATAAGTAAGGGGCCGTTTTGCCTAATTTTAAAAACTCCAAAATTTCAAACACAAAATGGTTTCCCGAATTGTTACTAAATAAAATTTATGTTAAAAAGCGAATAAAAAATGTACACAAAAGAATCCGACTGTCATTGAAATCTTTAAAATATCTGGAACATAAAGAGGAAAACCATTTCCGTCATCTAGCCAGTATACATAGACAATACTTTAGATTAAAATTTAATTGAAGAACTCGATTAAAAAGACTCCAAAAAGGCAAAAACAATCTCTGCCAAAAGGCTTACTGTAGTTTACGAAACGAAATCTGCACTTTGCGAAACTGTAATTTGCGAAATCTGTAATTTGCGAAATCTGCAGTTTGCAAAATCTGCAGTTTGCGAAATCTGCAGTTTGCGAAATCTCTAGATAGTTTGCTATTAATCTGCAGTTTGCAAAATCTGCAGTTTGCGAAATCTGCAGTTTGCGAAATCTCTAGATAGTTTGCTATTCAAATCTGCAGTTTGCGAAAACATATAGCAGAAAGTCAAAAAATGTTTACCTTTTCGAAAGTTTTCGATGCGATCACCATCATATAGCAGAAAGTCAAAAAATGTTTACCTTTTCGAAAGTTTTCGATGCGATCACCATCATTTTTATGTCAAACCTCGTGCCTGCGATCCACTTGACCATCTGAAGAATTTCCGGGAAAATCCCACAGTCAGGGCAAAATTTCCAATCAATTTGCTGGCAATGGTGTATTTTCAATCTTAAACTTTTACATTTTGCAGTCTCAGATATATAATTATATAAAGAAGTTTATTTGACACTGCCACTGAAATATAACTAATACAAGTAAAGCAATTTATTGTGATAACGTTTTATTGCAATTATGACTTCGTGTAGTCAGGTAGGTTCTTAATTAACTAGAATTTAATTGAATTGAATTTTATTTGCCCATATGAAAAAGTTAATATTTACAATCTAAAGGCTAGGAGCCTTCATGAAACCCTTTCAGGCTTTTTGTTCAAAGGTCCCTAGTTCTATAATATTTTTACAATTGTTTTATATGGTAAGTTAATCATATAATGTCGAAAGAATATAGGAATATTTACAAATACAAGTATAAAGTAAGGAAAATTTTAAAGTAAAAGTAATATAATGAGCTAATTGAAGAAAGAATATAGGAATATTTACAAATACAAGTATAAAGTAAGGAAAATTTTAAAGTAAAAGTGATATAATGAGTTTACAGATAATAACAAATGTAAAGTTTACAGATAATAACAATTAAAGTATATTTTACAAGAAAAATAATTTTGACTTTTTCTTAAAAGTACAATAAAATATAATACTGCTAATTTCATTATCGAGTGAATTCCATATCTTAACTCCCTTGTTAACAATAGAATGTTTTGCATAATTTGTTCTACTAAAATTTACATGAAATTTGTTAGCATTTCGAGTATTGTAATGATGCACTTCATTGTTCTGTGCGAAGTAGCCATTAAAATATTCAGGTAAGTTTTGTAGACGTTTAAACCGGTACATAAATAAACAACTTAAAAAGTCATTGATCTTAAAGATATTCAAGATCTTTAAGTTCTGAAACAATGGCTCAGTGTGTTCAAGATACGATTTAAAACTTATCAATCTGATAATTTTTTCTGTATATTCTGTATTTTGTGTAGCCTTGCTGGGTACGTATTACCCCATACTAGATTCCCATAAGTAAGATATGGATAAACCAATGCATAATAAATCAACTTAAGTGTATTTTTATTTGTGTAATGTCGTAGTTTTGCTATAAGTGCCGCAGATTTAATTATATGTTTAGCAACCAAATTTATATGGTTTTTCCATGTTAATTCACAATCTAAAATTACACCTAAAAATTTGATATGAGAAGCCTGTTGTATAATGTTATCATTAAGTTTAATATCGATTTCAATGTCGCATTTTTTATTTCTTGATTTAAAAATTATATACTTAGTTTTTGTTGTATTTATAGATAATTTATTCACGTTTAGCCATTTAATTACTTCATTCATTTCTTCTTGCATAACATGTGTTAATGATTTTAAGCATTTGTCAGAGTGAAATGCATTAGTGTCATCAACATACATAACAAAGGATATAATTTTACTACAGTTTTCAATATTGTTAATATATAACAGGAAAAGTAGTGGCCCAAGAATAGAGCGTTGCGGAACTCCTGTAGATATAATCAATTTGTTTGATTTATGATGACCAAATTTAACAATTTGCATTCTTTCATGTAGGTAGCTTTCAAACCATTTTAGGCAATTTCCTCTTATGCCATAATGTTCAAGTTTTTTTAGGAGAATATGGGAAAGTACAAAACATGGACCCCCGGTCCATGGACCCCTTGTCTGGACCGGGTCCATGGACCCCCTCTATGGACCGGGTCGATGGACCCCCTCCATGGACCAGATCCATGGACCCCCTCCATGGGCCACATTTTTCCAAATTTCAATATTACTGTTAAACATGATTCGAGTTTTCAATTTTTAAAAATATTTTAGTGGTTTTAAAGCATACTTTTTTTCTTAGCAGCAAACCTCATCTACACTCCAATGTTTTCTTCATACTAAAGCGAGGCTTGCTAACGACATATCATGACAAATCAATGCACCATGTGAATAATAATAGTGTTACTGACTGGCAAAGCCGTTCAATGATCACAGCCTATGAAATTAAAGAAACCACTGCCAGCAAAGTGTTGAAATAATAAACCACTTTCATTCATGATTGTGCATCTTAATTAGCCTTCTTGGTTCAATATACAAAAAAGTGTTTCAATTTGTCTCTTATGAAAGTGGTCTAAAGGCACTGTTCATAATCAGCAATTTGACTTGCTTCAATTAATACATTTTTGTGAGCTGTGCACTAGCTAGCTGGATGTATTTGTTATTTGGAACAAATTAATAAAACATTTTGACCTTGCAAGTAAATTTAATTGTTTTCTCCCTGTACAGGGTTATTTATATTCAGGTGTATTCAAAATTCCTGATAACATTATTCATAGATGGGGCCATTGAAGAATCGCAGGTCCGTGGACCTGGTCCATGGAGGGGGTCCATGGAGAGGGTCCATGGACCCGGTCCATAAAGGGGGTCCATGGACCCGGTCCAGACAAGGGGTCCATGGACCGGGGGTCCATGTTTTGTACTTTCCCGGAGAATATCGTGGTTAACTGTATCAAAAGCCTTAGATAGATCAAGGAAAATACCAATTGTATATTTACCATCATCTATAGCTTTTGAAATTTTGTCAGTTAGTAATTATAGCATGTTCAGTTGACCGATTTTTCCTGAAACCATATTGATGTTTAGATAAAATATTATGTTTTTCAATATATGAAATTAGTCTTTTATGCATTATTTTATCAAGTAGTTTTGAAAAATATGTGAGAACTGAAATTGGTCTGTAATTTTCAAACAGGTATCTTTCATTTGCTTTAAAAATAGGAGTAATGATAGCTATTTTTAGTGATTCCGGGATTACTCCGGTATCAAACGTTAAATTGAAAATATGTGCAAGAGGTTTGCAGATTTCTTGTTTTATAGTTTTTATCATTTTGGCACTTATATTATCATGTCCTGCACTTTTATTTGTATTTAAGTTGTCAATCTCAGTCAGTATTTCAAGTTCAGTAACAGGCTCAGCAAACATACTCTCTCTTTATGCAATGTGATTCACCTTATTACAAACCACCTACCGCCAATGTAGCCACTGAATAATGCAGGCATTCTTTTTCCGCAGCTTTGTTTTCTGGGTATATGTTAAATAGCAAAGAATAAAACAATTTTGGATAATTTGGCTAGGAGTAACCTTTCTCCTAGCCGATTTATTGAAATTAATAAAACAATAAATAATATATATGTATGAAAATATTAACAATTTTGCCCAGAAAAGGGTGGAGGCAGATTATCGCCAAATCATCAAAGCAAAACGGAGATGAAACCCCACCCCAAGGAAAAAGAATGCACGCTCATCCGGCGAGATTTATGGGCCACAAAGGCAACCAAGTAGCTTATATCAGCAAAAAGTAGAAATGTAGCCGCCCTTGCAGACTACGGCAGGCAAAATTTTGTCATGCAATGTTACTTTGCCTAAGCCCAAGTTTTTGATGGATACAATATTGCCACACCAGTCCTTCATTGAATTAAACATTGGATTGCCTTGTCTGTCCTTACTAAACAGGCAGATAAAATTGCGAAGTAAAACACCCAGGTCAATTGCACAATACGCACTACGTAAGAGAATATACGACATCGCCCTTGCTGATGACATATCGGTGCAATGCGAGTTATGCAACCAAAGGGCGCTGACAGATTGCATGATTGCCCTTGCTAATCACGTTCAAAATCATGCATGGGAAATTTCAGATAAAATTGAGGATAAAACAACCTGCATGTTTTATGCTCAGAAATCAAGGTGAAATGGGGGTTATGTCGATATAGTAGAAATTCGCAAGTATTTTTAGAAACGCGTTCGATTTCCAACGCCCCAACGCACGGATTTGCGCATCAGAATAACCATTTTCTGCAGCGTGGGAAGCTGCACCAATCCGAAAAGAATGTGACTTATATTTTGAGGTATCCAAACCGCAATGATGAAAAGCCCTTTTAAGTTGAGTGGCGAATTCGTCACGCGATAC